TTTTTTTTTTTTTTTTTCCCCGTGTGTTAATCCAAGGCAAGGCTCCTGGAGTCCTGCAGTTGATATTGAACAAGCCAACAAAATATATGCTGCATCAAGCGGCATATCTTAGCTTACACGTAATGCTTACATGTTTACATTTATTTTACAGCTTTTAGTACTTGTTGTGGCTCGTGGTGTGCTTTTAAAAATTTCAGTAAACAAGTGTATCAAGAGCATGCTGTGTATAGGCAAATGTTTTATATCCAAAGTTTTACCTAAGTGCTAATGTAGATCTATCTAGCATACCTATCTATGCTGCTTCGCCTTGAGAGAGTTTTACTGATTCTCGTTTATGGCAAGCGTGAAACGTCAGTTGATCAGTAAGAGATCTCTTTAAAATTAGGAAAAAGGGATCGCGAAAATCTCCACGTACTAGATAAACATAAGAATGCTTTCGTTTGGTGAAGAAGGTTTGCAAAAGGTCAAGTGAAATGTAGGGAAATTTGGTCATGCCTAGCGTCTGCGGGAAGATAAAACGCCGGGGAATCTTAATCTCATTTTCTAATGTTCTTCTAAGCCAACGTGCGTTGTTTCAAACGCAAATGCAGTCCAATCTTATATATTCTGATATCTGACCAGGTAGAGAGATCAGACCATGATCAATATACATATAAAACAAACACGTCTTTAACATTCAAGCGCAAACATCTTCTTTTTTTCTGTCATAAAAAGTCAAACCTTCCTCTTTAGGCATCAGAAACCCCATAGTAACCTACTGCCGATGAATAGACATAAGAATTGACCTAACGTTCATAAATCAAGTATCTTTAACGTCCGATTACGTAGAGCAATTTTCTTTGCAATTACTCGTCCCGGAACGGCATCGTTGCGACTCAAGTTTCAATAGCATTTCAGCGTGTAATCTACAGTGCAATTTGGAAAAAAAAAAAGTGAAACGAGTTGCCGCAGTCGTTGTGAAAAGCAGAATTCGTTTATACCTTTTGCAACGATTGAGTCTCCGTTGTACCATGTAGACACTCTTACAACTTGTGTCGCAACAACGCTGTTGCGAGACAATTGCAGAGAAAATTGCTCCGTGTGTTTGCACCTTTTATAATTGGCAATTTTTGCTACCTTTGAAATTAGTCTTGAATCTTGCATATGCTTTGAATTGTATTTATATTAATTTATTTAATTTTGACATTTAGGTTTGATATTTGAAAAGCTACGGTATGAGACCGGAAAGGATCATAGGAAATATTCGATTAACCTTCCCGATCATAGGACGCGTGCAATATGGCGTCATTTGACTCCCACTCCAAGGGCCACAAGTTTATTAGTGTAGCCCTCTATTAACTATGGTGTAGTACACTATTTAGTGCCACCCTCATTAAATAAAGTTGTTATTATTATTATTATTAAGATTCTTCGCAAATTTTCTATTTTTCAAAAATTTGTGTTCCCTCATGAAAAGAGTGAGAAAATGGGTGCTAATTAACTGAACAAAAGAAAGTGTGCAAGGGAGTCTGGTAGTAGAGGTCAATGACGACATCGATCGTGCAAACGTCCTATTCGCTTGATTGACGACGAAACAATAGCTTTATTTGAAAACTATAAAACTATATTTGATAAATTCTTTTTTATTTTATTTTATTTTTTTGAGCAGAATAGAAGTGCCAGCCACTCTCAAAATTGTCAGCGTCATTTTTTAATTTTCTTTATTTATTATATGTTGGAAAATTCTTCTCATAAGATGAAATTGTTTCCTATTGACCTTGTTCTTTGTTATTCGGAGTGGACATTCATTAGTTCTATTTGTTCTTTCGTGATTTGTTCAGTTAATTGCTCAGTTCGCACGGAGTCTGTGTACATGTGCTTTGTCAATCTCGTMTCTCGATTATTGATCAAAAACTATTTTTCAAACTTCGAGGTCTCGCTTCAAATTAATTCTTTCTTTTTCATCTATTTTTCACTCATTCATTTAATCGTTTTTACTAAGCTTTTGGTTCTTTTGGTTTCAAATTGTGAGTTGTATCCATCCATCCACTCTTTCGTTTGTTCACTTGTTAATTTTCTCGAATTCTCAGTCGCAATTAGACTTTATTTATCTAGACTGACAATCGGGAGAGAGTACAATTCCATTAATTTTCGAATGAGCACGGCATTATTAGAGCAAAAATGCAAAAATAGGTTAATATAATGAAGTTAAGAGGCTGGAACCTAATTTTTCAATTTTCAGAAAAAATCGATCGCAATTATATTTTGAAAAATAGAGAATATGTGTAATATAGTGATTTAAAAAGCACACAAATCACTGAAAGATCAGCTCGGCACCTTTATTATAATCTACAATAAATTTGCTATATAAGATGCGAATTGTGCAAAAATCGTAAAAATCGTTACAGAAAAGGCGAAAATCCAGCGTCAATCTTTGAAAAGGCTTTTGATATTTGGCGAAAACGCGACTTTTTTTTAAAAAAAATTACAAAATTTGCTATGAATTGGAGACACCTTAAGGGTTCGTTCATAAAAAAGAAAAAATATGTCATCATCTGTCGGAAAAAAAGTGACATTCGATAACGATTGCATACGACAAAGTGTGCTTCATTAATAAAGATTATTTACTGTCAACCGGCTGAATTTGAAATGCCATAAGGTATTTGTTTAGTCTTATATAAGGAATCTTTTCAATTGGGAAGTATATATTTTAGGAAAATATGGGTTTTCAATATAGTGTAGTCGTAAAGCAGAGCTAAAAATTTTGTTTGAAAATACTTTTTTTTCAATTTTAATAAAAAGAAATCGTCTTCAAAGACGAAGAAACGAAGAATCGATTAGATATGTTGAAATTGGAGCTTGAGACACAATCACTATATATCTGACAGTTGTACTAAAGCCTGCGATACTGCATAATGCCTTCAAGATTAAGACGCCCATGTTTAATAACGATGTTACAGTTTTTAATGAGCGAACACAGATGGCCTTTAAAAGGCTATCAAGAGATAGCAAGCTAGCAAGTCTATCTCACTATGTCTTATGATGTTCACGTCTCGAGAAAATGTTCTTAGACGATTAGGGATGTAATGACGTCCACTGATTTAAAACTATCTTGTATTGAACTCTCGGCGTAGTATTGAAAGTCTTCGGGGGAAAAAAGAATCTTTGGAATTGGAATATTTTAGTGTAGTATAAGGCTTACGACGAAGCCTCCATGCGACTAGATTCAACGACGAATAATAACAATTTCTTTTCTACTACTTAACTTTGCAAGAGGAAATATCATCAGATGTAAGAAAGAGAAAAGCAGGTCCAATTGACATTGGCAGAAATATTGAAAGAGGTTAGTAAGATATCGATGTCGCTTGCACAGAACTTGACTTACTTAAATCGTACTGCATGTTCATTAAAAAAGAAAAAACAACCCTAAAAAACCCGAAACAACTGGGATGATCTATGTCAAAGCATTGCTACGTAGCTGAAAGATCACCCTGAAGCAATACCTCTGGGCGAATCTAAGTCACAGCATGTCTAGCTCATAGATGGAATCCTGAAACAACCTCTGGGTGTTCAAAGCTATTAAAGCTTAAGGGCACGGCTAATAAGTGAAATTTAACTCTCAGTAGCGTGTTTCGTTTTGCGGAGGGAGGAAAACCGGAGTTACCCAGAGAAAACCCCATGAATCAAATGAGAGACCTAATAAACAAATTCTACTCAGATCTGAAGCCAATTCCAGAAATGAAATGAAATGTAATGTAAAAGAGACCTTGGGGTACGACAAGTGCAAAACCATGTACTATACCCTGCTTGATTCCTTTATTTTTATATATTCTGTAGGCATAAGAGAAGCTTTCAACTGATTAATTATTTCTGACATTTAAGCGTATTTTGATGTAGCCTTAAGGCCATGCAGTTCAAGCATTATTATTGCAAAGCATTTTTTTATTCTTCATTTTATTTAGTCTTTGAGTCTAAGATATAAAGTAAAAGTAAATCGTCAGGGACCAAAACAAGCTTCAACATTCAATATGGTCAAAAAAAAAAAAAAGTAGAAAAATAAAATTGTTATTGTGACACATGACGCTCGAAGACCTTTATTTTCTTTTTTATGAGAGAAATAAAATGTTTTGATTGTCATAACACCTACACGCGACGCCGGGATTCTGATTTTTGGAAAGTGGGGTTTAAAAGAAGAGGTAAAAGAACGAGAGAGAAATAAAGAAAAAAAAGAAAGAAAGATTGAGCAAAAACGAAAAAATACGACGAATAAAAAAAAATGGAAGGAATAAATGGCTGAATAAATAAATGAATGAATGATCTAGTATATGAATTAAAAGAAGAAAAAAAGAAGGAAAAAAAGACCAGAAATATATACATATCGGATAACAAGAAAAACGAAAAACAACAACTACAAATAACCAAAAAAACAAAAAACAAAAAAACAAAAAAACAAAAAACAAAGACAAAAACAAAAACAAAAACAAAAATAAATAAATAATAAATCGATCTGGGACAGACTTATGGAATCAGTCTAGGGTCTTTCTTGGTATAGCAAGATTTATTGTTCTTCNAGGGGGGGAAAGAAAAGAAACAGAAACAGAGAATAGAAATTAAAAAATCTAAAAACTAATCTGTAATTTGTTCTGAAATCCCTCATGAATCGAGTCATTTGCAAGCAGAATTATCAGCACCATTACTATTATTATTAATCTGCTGGAATCTACTTAAAAGAGGATTTTGTAAAGGATTTTAGTTTTGGTACGTTAAAAGGGCTTGTTGACTCTTAGAAGGAGTTCTCTGAAAACCGCCTTCAAAACTGTAAACTCGATCCATGAGATTTCCCTCGATGAATAATCGAAGTACTAAAACAGTTGGCTATTTTCGTGAGTGTTTAGAGTATTTAGATGATCTCGAATTTAATAACAACAACTTGAAATACATTTTTCATTTATCCATCGGGCATTCTTTTCATAGCCACTTTATAAAAACTACTTTTGGCTTCGTCAAAACATTCAATAGAGTCACCAACTCGGCGTCAAAAACGCTGCTCATTCGATAAAATTCTTTTAAAGTGTATATGACACGAAAAAATTTTAATGTTAAGAATGTGTAGTTTATTGGCATTAATAAGAATATCATGATTAAATTTGTTCCAAAAACGTATTTCTCTAGAAATTCAAAAAATTTTAGCACGAGTTGTGACGTCATTTTGTTTACAAGTCTCCAGATTTGGTTGCAAATACACGAAATATGTTTGAATGTAGAATCTTAATTTCAAGTAGTACACTTTTCAATTTCCCAACATTGGAAGAGTACTACGTAAGCTATCAAATGAAGCTGACTAAAATATGTCTTTTGTTGTTAATTTATATGAATTGCAATTTATATTTAGTACATTACTACTGAATCTAGAGTACGTGTCAACAAAATGACGTCACAAATTGGGATTAACTTTCGCAAATATCTCAAGAAATAAGCTTTTGAAACAAATTTTATTACGATATATTTATTATTACTAACAAACTATACATTTTAAATGATGGAATGTTTTCGTGTCATATACACTTTAAGCTTAAAGTACTGACTCAGCTAACCTCGTATATTGATTGATCTGAATATTAGAAGCTAGATTCTTAATTTTACATATTTTTTTCTCAGGCAGTCATTAGTTTGAAACATAATTAAGTTGCTATTAGACTATGGAAAATTGCACAGACCATGTTTTTGTTGTTTAATTTTGTAAGGACTTGTATAAGGACTTGCATTCACGCGCGTGATGCATAACACACTTTCAGAATAATGTAATAACTATGTAAATTGTTCTATTTATCGTTGAAAAATCTGTAGGAAGCGGAAAGAGTGCCACCAATTTCATGAGAACGTCAGTAGATCTGTCTGAAGAAGTCCGTGTTTTTTTCCCTTGGTATTGTGTCCTCGGTGAGATTTAATTATCAATGTAAAACAACCAATATTCCTGAATTCTTCAAATTAAATCAAGTGGAACATGTTTAATTCAGAATAATAGGAGATTTTCACAGGAGACTGTTTAGGATGGAATTGTTCTTCGTTCTTAATTGTGAGTAAACATTTCATATTTTTAATTGGTACGTTGAAGTATGAAGCAGGCTATTCGCACAGAAATGTCGGTAAATTAAAAATAAATATCAGATAAAGAATAAAATGAAATAAGAAAGAGAGAGAGAGTGCCGGATTGAGTGACTGGACCGGAATAAATGAAGGAAGGAAGAAGGGAGGGAAGGAGGGAAGGACGGGAAAAAAAGAAAAGAAAGAGAGAAAGAAAGAAAGAAAGGAAGAAAGAAAGAAACTTGTTAAAAAACAACTGAGACAATATATATTAATAGAGTAACTCATAATGGAATACAAAAAGCAAAAAAGTGTTTTCAATGTTGTTTTTTTTTCAACACTTATTTCTTTCTGTCTTTTCAATTCTAGTAATGGGTTTGATAGTTTTAGTACCGGAAAGGATAATACTGCAAATATTATCGGCTTCAAGGAAAAAATAAAAATAAAATAAAATAAATAAATAAAATAGACACCAATAACAAAAAAACTTCGCTAATGAATTGTTTTGGCCTACGCAAGTCTTTTGTAGTTGTTATCTTCAAGGAATTTTACCTAATGTAAGAAAGACTAAACAATAGATTAGGATAGTTAGAAACCCGCTTTATTTAGTAAAATGTAGGTTGTCTCTTCAGACGAAAAAGTCGTCTGCTATCAATAGGAGAGCTGATAGACAAAATACATTTAAAGTTAGAAATACTGATATATCGACAATAACATCACCCTCTTTCACACACGCCTTATGCCTATACCTTTTGCGATATAAAATGCGTATAATAAAGTTCATACCATAACATGCATGCAATCACATCTTAAATCTTCTGAGAGAAAGAATACCCAGAATTGAACTGAATTGAACAATAGCGGGACTGAAAGCGCGCTTTCTTGAACATCTTCGTACATTTTCCTTTACTGTCGAAAATGGGGGGAACCGATCAAAATCAAAACGCTAGAGGGACTCACTGAAGGGTCATTTTAAAAGTGCATGAGGCGACACACGAAAATCAATCTTAGCACTAGCTAAGAGACAACTAGAACAACGGGAAGTGACTTTAGTAATACATATGTACACAGGAACCCGTTCATGACAAGTGTATCCGGTAGAGTGAAATATATTGAATATTTGAAGTCTATTATAAAGGGTTTTGAAGGCTTAGACTTCATTTAATGTGCAAGACAATGAGAGTTTAGCCAATCAGATCGCAAGACCATACAAAATGTGAGAGTTTAACGTTGTCAGACTTGTGAATTGTGTTATTTATACATATTGTAATGTGTTTTTATTCAGTTGGTTGTATAGGAAAGTGTACGACCATCATTATGGTTATTAATTGAGTAACGTATATAGGGTATCATCGTATCACATATCCTACGTAAATTAACAGGAGATAGAAAATTTTAAGAGAAAGAAAGAGAAAATAATATTTAAAAAAAACAGTCTTTAACGTGCATGCGTTCTTCGACTTGTACGACTACGTTTCTGAATGAAAATTTCAATCAAACCGTGAGACTAGCCCAGGGGCGTGCCAGGGGAGTAGGCAAACTAAGAAACTCACGACGACCTGAGCAAGTTAAAACAAATAAAAAAAACCCCAAAAATGTGTTTTATAAAAAAACACAACAGGCGAGTTTCGAGTTCCAAACTACTGCTGTGTTCCTTGATTGCAGGCTCATTTACTCAAGGTTAGCCTCGAATCAGTGTCTAAATATTCACGAATACCAACGTAAAGTAAAAATGCACGTAGTTCAACAATATAAACACTTCTATTGGACCTTTACTGGAACACATGCCTTTTTGAATTCTACACTAAATCGAGGCTAACCCTGAGCAACTGGAACTCGAAACTGGAGTGTTTTAAAGCTTCCATTGCAAAAAGTGGAGTATTAGTAAAACGATATCCATTCTTTAGTTGAAAGTATCGATGGTAAGTGGATTATATATATATATATGTATCTCACGTTATGTATTTTGTTACATCTTATAACAAAAACCATAAGCGTTTTTTTTTAGACATGCTGGGGTCGTAGAAGTGAAATGATCTATTTTAACTCTATAAACGTTTCTAACTAGATAATGATAATAATAATGATTGACCACTTATTTTCTGTTTTTTAAAAGCTCTAAATGCCTTTTTAATCATGATATTCTATATGAATAAAAATGTTAAAAAAAATTCTTACATATTACCTGTGGATTTGGCGGGTATATTTGTGCATAAGCGCGTGTGCTCGCAACTTTGGTATTCTCGCTATGCCCTAGAGTGACCACAGTAAATCCGTGAAACACTAATTACTAAATAGTACAAAATAGTGCTAGTTAAACAATAGAAAACAAAGGAATTTGCATGAAATTGTGCTATTTAGTATTGCTAAAGTTTCACGGATTTAGTGTGGTCACTCTACTGATATTCTAACCTATTAAATTTAACTAAATCTACAATTATATCTAATGTAGTGCTCAACTCCCTTCCTCCCTCCCCCCCCGACCCCTTTAGCCTTTATTTTATCTCAATGTATTGTTTTCACATTTTCGACTCTCGATATGTACGGCATATTATTACTACTTGGCAGGTGTTTTTTTTGTTATGCTTGACTTGAGACTCCTACTGCGTTCTCTTCAATTAAATACAGTTATTAAGTTCAGTTCACTGATGTATTAGCAATGGGATAGGAGGAGAATTGAGTGTCTAAACTAACGTTTTAATAAGTGCCAATCATGAATGGATCGAATGCTTGTCCCTAGTAATTATTTTGAGTGACATAAACATACAACGATAAAGACACTACTATTTACAAAATGTTGTCAGCAGTTTAAGTCACTTTTAAATTAAGTACAGAATAGAACATTAAAGCAATAATGAAAATTGCATAGTATAGCTAGCCTTTGGTAGATGTGTTCTGTTCGGGTAAATGACAATTGAGTACAAATGATTTGAATTGACAGTTTATTTACGACTTGAAGAAAATTTTGTTCAGCTAATAATTAATGTAGGTTTGTATATAGATTTGTAGTGTACGGTGAACAGCTGGATGTCGATGGTGAGCATGCATGGGGTCACAAAAACACCCAAAAATTCAATATCCTAAATGGTAATTTCAATTACTCCAACTTGAAAAAAGTGATGTAATTCTTGAGCATCTCAAAACAAAATATGGTAGTTTAAGGCGTTGATGAAATATTCAAAGCAAGGGGGAAAAACATCACGTTTTTGTCAAACATAATAAATTTCTTTTCTTTTTTCTTTCTTTCTTTTCTTTTTCTTTTCTGGATTACTTCCGTATCTTATTTTCGTTTTCTTTTTCAATTGACTATCGCCGTTATCAAAAAATATATATATTGTTCTTGAACTTTCTCTAAAATAGAATTAGAACAAATGGGTGCAATTGTCCATCGATCTTTTGGCTATCGCATTGCAAATCTCCCGGGAAGTGACGCCTCTAGATCTAGCACTTGGCGTACTAACTATCAATTCAAATATATGTACCGTCGAAACTGGTTCTCAGACATTAAGTTGAAGATTTCCAAACCAGACATACAGCCAGAAATTCGTAAGCCTGATCAACAATAAGATTAATTTGATTAGGCAATTAATGTAGGGATTGTTACGGTTCTAAATTACAGTTATTGTTTTCTTACAGTTCAAGCTTTCGAAAAAAGAAGACAAAGGGAAGTTGATGGCTTAAATCAGAGAGCTTGAATTTATAACCATGTAGTCTTCAATCCATTACTGGATTTAAGTAAAGGCTGGCGAACTCGTGAAGTGAAACTTTTGTCGATGGAAGGTTAGTATTTTTATTAAATTATATTTTGCGCATTCCATTTTATTTTGTTTTTAGTTAGGAAATCAAAGAAATAATACGCAACATTTTGAGCAAATTGAAAATGAATTTTCATGTTTTACCTTGTGAAATATTCCCAAAGATTTAAGCGTCCGTTATGTTATATTTTTATTTCGTAAACGATATTTTATGGACTTTATTTCGCTTTTAATCCATAGGCCATAACAAATGAAAGGTTATAAACGAGAAAGTCGACCTAGAGATAATTAAGTATATGTCATAAATGAGAATCGAGTGTAAAAGATCGATGGAAAATACAATTTGTAAATACATTAATATGGTTTACAAACTATTCAACAGAACGCGAGATCTTTTCTACAACTTCCAATCCTTCGCATAACAATCCTTTTAATTTTATTATTTTTCGAATAGTAAATGATTCGCTGTCCAAATTTCATCAGCTAGCGATGACCTTTTACTTCGAGTAACGTATGTCGGACGAAAATAAGTCATTTAGAAATGGTCAAAATAATGATAATATCCAGATCATAAGCCGATAGCATGTACATTCCTCTTATATACGTATGCGTTTCCTTCATTTCAATAAAAAATTCCATTGGGTCGTCGGGGAATTTTTTTTACAGCACTCAAAATCCATAGTGTAGAAGAAGAATGATAAGAGAAAGGGCGACCGATATGGAACTACTTCTGGATCAATAGATTGAGAATTATTTTTCACATTGAAAAAAACACTCATCTTGCTTTATGTACCTTTTAGAAATCTATGTCTTTTCATTAAATATAACAGGAAAAAACTTGTTTGAAAACAAGAAAATTAACTGCCAGCGACGTGAGCTGAATATATTATACAAAAATTGAATGAATGATAAAAAAAGAATAAATGAATTAAATGAATGAATGAATGAGAGAAAGCTAAAGGGAGGAAGAAAGGACAAGAAAAGAAAAGGGCATTTAAATGTTGACAAAAACAAAACCCCAAAACGGGAATACCAAAATACAAAATAAGGTTTGAATCAGTAGAAAAACATTCTTTGGAAAGTACGAGAAGGGGCAAAAGACTTTTCAAGGTGAGTTTTTAATTCATATCACATCTCTCGTGACTGGCATATCTTATGGCCTGAGTAACTGCACTGTAACACCTTCGAAATATGAACAAATTTACCGATAAAGCAATTCTTCAAGTGTTTTGTCAGATTTGAATCTCCCCATGACTCATTTCATATTTATATTCGTCCTAATATTGTTAACTATTTTTATGTGTTTATTTTAACCGATAGTAAACATTCATTGCATGACCTTTCAACGCCTTTCACCACACTTTGAAATGTTTATAATTTTAGCAAAGTTATAAGTTGGACTTATTTAGAACAAGTAAACTAAACCCTTCAAAGTCCATTTGTATAAACTATTGACTTCTCTTCAATCTATAATGCATTTCTATCCGTCGATCGTGTTATTTTTTCTCTCTACCTTTTTAAAGTTTTCTGTTTTATTTTATGTTTTGATATAGTTCTCAAACTTTCTCTCTCTTCTCTATCTGTTTGCTTTTCTCTTTTTTGTCATTTTAGTTGTTGTTTTTTTTTTTTTTTTTCAAGTCTCCAATTTAAACATTATTTATAATACCACGGAATTTGGCAAGCCATAAAGCTTTATAAATATCAAAATATATGAACCAAAAATAGCACTATACCTTTTTTTAATTCGGAAAATACTGCTATTATTCTTGACTTCTGACTCATTTATACAGAATTAACCTCGCTTTTCTAAAATGTAATGTAAAAAAACTGTGCAATTTGAAAAATCTATTCGGGAGACCCACAAGCTTTTACTAGTATCTATGGATAGTCCAAAACCTAGTTAAACGGCTTGTGTAAACTATATATGATCCGGTTAAAACAGGTGAAATACAATTAGAAATTGGTTAAATTAAAAATTGAACCACTAGAGAACTGTGCTTTTTTTGTTATCATTTAATCCCGAATTTTTACACTACCGAATATTTATTTTTTATACAAGTGCTCTCAAGGGAAACCCGAACTTCACTCAATCTTTCAGTTGTATCTTTTCTGGGTATATCCGGTAAATCATCTCAGAAAAAGAGATATAAACGTTTCTTATGCATGCTAAAGTGCTTCAGATGTCACCTTCAGTAATCAAGCTGTATTGTCAGCTAAAAGATAGCTTAGTTTATCAATCACAACATTCGCATGCATAAAATTCCAATCAGTGTAGGTACACCTTTTTTTTTAAAAAAAAAAGAAAAAAAACGTCGGTCGGAGATCCGAAATGGGCGATCTGATCGTATTTTTCAAGGTTTACTGTTTTCTGACTAAAACACACACCACACACAAAACACATTTCAACTCAAAAGACTTGCTTCATATTCCAATCTTTAGGAACCTACGTTGTTCGGCTGTGGATATTTTACGATTTGCAGCGTGCTACTGCTTTTTTTCTTTCTTTTGAAATTTATACACCTATTTCAAAAGACGGGTTGCTGGTCGGTCGGAAATTTTGTGCTTTCAAATTTTGGCTAAAATACGAATAATCATTTCCAACTCAAAGCTCATGCTTCATATCCATTCTATAATCAAACTACTTGTTCGGCTGTGAAAGTATTACAATTTGCAGCGTGCTACGCGGTCTCAGGCTTAAGATCTCTGACCAACAACCCGGGCCAACAACGTTCTTTGAAGTAGGTGTACATACATGCTTCGTGACGCTGGTTGACACATTCGGTCATATCTCTATAGATCTTCATCTTGACTCTAATGCATAAAGACGAGAAGACCATGTGATAGTAATCTTTGGATTTTGTTATTATTTTGTGATGTTGGCTTCGAAGGTCAAAAGGCAAGGCCATCGGAGTAGAAATTGTGCTATAAGTAATCAAGGATTAATGGAGGATTAACTCAAAAGAATGATTTTTTTTTTTTAACAGCCAATAAATAATACATTCGTTTTATCAGTGTTTTTCCCCCCTTAATTTTGAAGTCTTAGTTTAAAGGCAAGAAAACGAGGAAGGAAAAAAGGAAAAAAAAAAAGGAT